CCCCAAAACCCCAAAACCCCAAAACCCCAAAACCCCACAATAGCAATATAAACTGAAATACCAACTAACTCTTATTAATTAATTGATTAGATTATCAAATTCAGCGATGAAGGTAAGCCCACAATCAAAAAAACACAAATCAGCATATAACTTCTTTCTGAGAAATAGAACCAAGCTTATTTACAAACGAACCTCTATATTTACCAGCTTACTAGTTGATTATATTTCTTTCATCAAAACTATACACTCTGAAGGCCTAGTACTCCTTTAATTTTATCGAGAAGGCTATTATTTATACCTCTTACTAATTCATCTAGAATTAGACTTTGAAGCAATAAAATTAAGGATCTACCATCCTGGCTGTCACAAAATGTTCAATATTTAAGATTAAAATTTTATGGACATTTTGTGACCCAAAAAGTGAAATATTATCAAAGACCTCTTATCGTTAATGCTCTCTAAACCCTTCTAAAGACCTTAATATATCTCTGATTCATGAGTTACCTTACATTTATAGATGCAGAATTTACGAATTATACCGAACATTTTGATATTTGCTCTCATTTATTTTAACTGATGAAACTCCAAACTCCTCGCTAAATATTCACTCTCTGAATTGCCAAGAGATGTAAGCCAGATATGATCCACACAAGGTTGTCTAGAACATCCAGCCCTACTTATACCATGTAAGAATGAGATCTTAATTTTAAAGGAGATAGTGATCACCAACCAATTATTTCATCAGAAGAAGTAACATTTAGAAACCAGAGGTAAAACTAATCACTAAGCTATAGTTACTTGGCATTATCAACTCCCTTCAACAGAGGAATAGATAATCTCGTCAGAGTTGAGTTTGAACTATATCCAGAGGAACTTCAGAGAGGGTCTGAATCTTCTCCTCCTAACACCTCTTTTTCAGAGAAGGTAAGATCTGATTAATCCTTCTAGAGTTCTTTCAGAAAGAAAACTGAAAACCCTTACTTTACAGTGAGAATACCAAACACTGAACTTGCAGAAATCAGATGTCCTTCTCCATGTCCAGACCCCTTCGCTGTGAAATCAATTCTGATTTACTCTGATGAAAGAAGTAAGCTATCCCTACTATATTTAGGAAAGTTGCAAAGATGAGGCAGTGGAGCAAGATATTCACCGGAAGAATGAGACGACGGCAATCTTGATAATGGCGATGGATGAAGTAGCACTTGCGAAGTAGAGTCAGGGTATGTATGAACAGGAGGCTCTACTAGTTCCAGAGATTATTGAACGCGGATATGTGGCAATGGTAGGAGAAATTCTGGCGAAACATGAGATGATGGAGATAAATACAGTGGAGATGGGTGAAGTAGCTCATGAACAGTAGAAACTGGATACTCCTGCTCTGGAGGATCGTCCTCTTCAGCTGATACATGAGCTCCAATTTGTGGGGATGGAAGAAGAGTTGGTTCAGAGCAGTGTGATGATGGAGACCTATCCAATGGAAATGGATGCTCTAGCACTTGAACAAGAGAAACAGGTTACACTTGATCAGGAGGTTCATCTTCTAATAGTGACACTTGAACTTCAATCTGTGGGGATGGAAGAAGAGTTGGTTCAGAGCAATGAGATGACGGAGACTCGAGCAGTGGAAATGGGTGAAGTTCATCTTGTACAATTGAAGCAGGATTCTTATGCAGTGGAGGCACTCCAACTTCTCTTGATACATGTAGTGAGGTATGTGGGGATGGCAAGAAAGTAGGCACAGAAGCTTGAGATGATGGAGATTTGATTGATGGAAATGGATGCTCAAGCACTTGAACTATAGAAACAGGCTACAGCTGCACTGGAGGATCAAGTTCTGGAGCTGACACATGAAACCCAATCTGCGGAGATGGGCTCAGAATAGGGGTCGAACAATGAGATGATAGTGGAACTGGCAATAATGATGGTTGAGATTCATCTTGAAACGTTGAAACTGGATACAGTTGCACTGGAGGAACTCCAACTTCAGCTGACACTTGCAATGAAGTATGTGGGGATGGAAAGAGAGTAGGAACAGAGGCTTGAGATGATGGCGACCTTAATGATGGAAATGGGTGTTCGAGCTCTTGTATGATTGAGACAGGCTACAGCTGCACAGGAGGATCTGTGTCTCAAACTGATATATGAACTCCCATCTGCGGTGATGGACTTAGAGTCGGAGCTGAGAATTGAGACGACAGCGACACGAATAATAATGACGGTTGAGACTCTACTTGTACCATTGAGACTGGATATAGTTGTACTGGTGGAACTCCAGCTTCAGCAGATACCTGTAGCGAGATTTGCGGAGATGGCAAGAAGGTAGGAACAGAAGCATGTGACGATGGAGATCTGAATAGCAATGATGGATGCTCAAGTTCATGAACAATCGAAGTAGGATATGCTTGCACTGGAGGATCAGTTTTGCAGGCTGATACTTGAAATCCTATCTGAGGTGATGGACTCAAGATCGGATCTGAACAGTGAGACGATAATGATATCAATAATGGCAATGGATGCAGTTCTTCATGAGTCGTTGAGATCGGTTATGGCTGAGTAGGAGGAACCCCAACATCTTCTGATACTTGATCTGAAATTTGAGGAGATGGAAAAAAAATTGGAAACGAAGTTTGAGATGATGGCGATTTGAATAATGGAAATGGATGCTCAAGCACATGCATTATTGAAGCTGGGTATAGTTGTACAGGAGGATCAATTTCTCAAACTGATACTTGAACTCCTATATGAGGAGATGGGCTTCGAATTGGAAATGAGCAATGAGATGATAGTGGAACTAACAATAATGATGGTTGAGATTCATCTTGAAATGTTGAAACAGGATATAGTTGCACTGGGGGGACTCCAACTTCGGCTGACACTTGTTCAGAAATCTGAGGCGATGGAAAGAAAGTTGGAAACGAAGTTTGAGATGATGGTGATCTGAATAGCAATGATGGATGCTCTAGTACTTGTACCATCGAAACAGGATATACTTGCACTGGAGGATCTGTGTCTCAAGCTGATATATGAACTCCCATTTGTGGTGATGGGCTTAGAATGGGATCAGAACAATGAGATGATAATGACATCAATAATGGCAATGGATGCAGTTCATCTTGAATAGTTGAGATTGGGTATAATTGAAGTGGAGGATCCCCCATATCTCAAGATACCTGATTAGTTGTTTGAGGAGATGGCATCAAGCTACCCATTGAAGTATGTGATGATGGCAACACCAATTCAAATGATGGCTGAGACTCCACCTGCTCCTTCATTGAAGATGATTACACTTGAGCTGGAGGTTCTTTGACATCCTCTGACATTTGAGAAGTCATCTGTGGAAACGGAATGCTACTCTCTGATACCGACCCAGTCAAGTTTTGAGATGACGGAAACATAAACAGCGGAGACGGTTGTAGTGACAACTGCGAAGTTGAGTCTGGTTGGGTGTGTACTGGAGGAAACATGAGCACTTCTTCAACATGCAATCTGTGAGAACTGGAGTTCTGCACTAAATATGAGGATCAAGATCATACAAAATGTGCAGAATGAGACAAAGGATATAAACTTGATGCAAATATGCTTTGAATCAAATCATCAGAAGTGGTAATGTCAGCATCTGCTCAAGCAACCGCTTCTTCTTCAAAGATGGCTGCAGGTGCTGGAGGTTTTGCAGCAGTTATCTCATCGGTGCTTCAATTCAGCTCCCCAATAGGCATATGGTCAATGGTGCATCAACTCCAGATCATGAGCTTGATCACATTAACCAAAGTCTATATACCGGATGACCCAAAAGGAATGCTTCTTGGTAAAGGCGCTTGATTCCCATTTTCTATCTCATCGATTAGTACATATAAGTTACCAGGAATCAATGTGTTTTCTGAATCAATAAATTTTGATCAAAGTAAGTCTCTTAGTAAATTATTTTAGGCAGTATAGAGCTGGAAGCTGTAGGACTAGATTCAGGTAGCTCAATAATCAACAATCTCACATTGATGATAACACTATTAATCTTTATGATTATCCATCCTTTTATCTTCCTGATTCCCAAATGTAAACCAGACAATGATGATCAAAAATGAAGGCTAAGAATCAATAAATTTGTGATGTGGCTTCGCGAATTCTTCACTTTTTCAATTTATATCAGAACTATTTTTGAGACATATCAGTACATCCTCCTTGCAAGCTTTGCTACATTTATGAAAGGAGAGATAAATTCAACAATCTCTAAAATATCTCTCTGCTTTTCAATTATAGCAGTATTCCTTGCTTGCTGATTCCTTCAACTTTCTCTATATGTAAGCTATATCTCTATAAGCCCTGATTTCAGTGACCCCAGAAAAGCAAAAGAGTTCTTAGTGGGGATTCGCAATCATAACTTATGCAAGATGTATTCCTTCTTTGCTTTACTGAGAAGAAGTCTGTTCTGTGGCTGGCTGATATTTTTCGTATTTTTGGGACCTCAAGCCTTGATATTAGTGTTTACTTTAATCCACTTGCCATACCTAGCCTTTATTCTGATTTTCCGGCCTTTTAAAGAGCCATCTAATAACATTTTCGAATGTGTGAATGAAATTTTCCTTACCACACTTGCGGTATGGCTATGCTTTATTAACAAAGAATCAGATTGGAACACTACTCTTTCAAAAGTGATGGTAAACATAATCTTCGGCAACATAATTTGTCTGTCTATCCTAGCTACTAGTAAGCCCTGGCTGATAAATGTAGTTGCCTGAATTGTTACAGTTTCTAAGTTGCTAAAAAGAAAGTGCTATTCCAAGAAGACAACCCCAAAGAACAATCAAGTAAGTCTAGAGGTATTATTAGAATAGAGGCCAGTTCAGATGCAGATGAAAGCTCATGTCTCACAAGAAGGCCCTTCCCATAACGGCTCTTCTTCCCATAGCGGAATGTCACATCATAATTTAGGTGATTTCGAAAATCATGGCACTCATGAAAACAAGCACAAGTTTTTCAAAGGAGTGAAGAGAATAATTGATTTTAATGACTAATTAGATTTAAAGTTTTACCATTAAAATTTGAGATTCATAATACTTCATATAAATATTCATCCTTTGAGATGCATCTCGGGGTTTTGGGGTTTTGGGGTTTTGGGG